GGCGGGGCCGGGGGCGGGGCGCGGGCGGGCGGGCGCGTAGTAGGTGCGCGGACGGGGACGCGCGGGCGGGCGCGGGATGCGCGGGATGCGCGGGATACGCGGGTTGCGGGGTCTCGCGGACCTTGGCCTCGTCTGGGAGGTGACGGTGCCGTGGTGGAAGTGCCAATTCCTGATAAGCACACCTTGAGCACTGGTCCCAGTTCGTCCTTTCAATCTGTAGTGCCCCCGTGTTACAGGTAAAGACACGGAGCCCAGGAGTGACGGGCCACCCGGGCACGAGCGAGCGGCGAAGCCCGGACTGAAGCCTGGGCAGCGAGGTTCTAGAACTTTCCGCACGTTTGCACCAGTGATGACGGATCTCATTGGAGGCTTGGAAACCGAGTGCCCAGAGTGGGCAGGGGAGGTGGAGGCCTGCCCGGCCGCTGGCTCTGGAACTGTGGTTGTCATGGGTTGTAACTAATGGATAAAATGTGATGGGCCTGCGCTGGGCACTGAGGGGGAGAGTGAACAAAGTAGTCCTGACAAGGATTCCCCCACGTTTCGCATCTTAGACAGAAACGAGCTGGGAGCATCCAGGCTGAAGGTGTAGACAGAGGGGGCATGGGGGCCAGTGAGGAGGCCTGAGCAGGGACTAGGGTGTGGCTGGAGCAGAAGCAGAGAGCAGGCCCCCAGGTTTCTGGCTTGCGCAAACCGGGAAGAGTGCAGTGGGGGAGGGGGGACTCAGGAGCCCCAGTCCTTTCCAAGCTGTTGTTGATATCAGTGTCATCGGGGTGCTGAGGAGGTGAGACGCACCGTGTTCGATGCTTGATGTAAAAGCATTATGCCAGTGCTCCGAGAACCTACCAGCCAGGAGAGAGAACCCCTGTTAGAAGGCCTGCCCTGCTCTCTGCACAAGTCACACGTTACATGAGTCATGGGCCCCCACTCACCTTGGCATACATCACCCAGACTGAGAGGTCAGGCCCTTGTGACAGAGGGTCCTTGCTCAATCAGTCAGTCAATCAGTGTGCCCTGCCGCCCTCGACTGGGTGCTGGACAGCCAGAGTTCCAGTGAGGCAGGGAGATGCACCAACAGATGCAGTGACAGTAGGGCTCTGTGTCATCATCACACGTGGCAGAAACCGAGGGAAAGGGCTTGAGTCATCCTGGGGCAACCAAAGGAGACTCTTTGGAGGGAGCTTTGACAAGAATCATCAAATAGCCGCGAAATGCGGGGGAGCAGGGCGATTCGGATGAAGAGAGGGATGCGTTCATCCCTCTCTGAAAAGTCTCTTCCCCATACGACAAAGCTGCACTCATCGAAACAGCATGGTAGTGGCACAAAAACAGGCATGAATCAATGGAACGGAATCCAGAGCCTAGAGATACACCCATACACCTACTGTCAATTAATCTTCGACAAAAGAGGCAAGAATATACAGTGGAAAAAAAGTCTCTTCAGCAAGTGGTGTTGGGAAAGCTGGACAGCCTCATGTAAATCAATGAAGTTAGACACACCCTCACACCATACACAAAAATAAACTCAACATGGCTCAAAGACTTAAATATAAGACATGAAACCATAAAACTCCTAAAAGAGAACAGAGGCAATACATTCTCTAACATAAATCGTACCGATGTTTTCTTAGGTCAGGCTCCCAAGGCAACAGAAATAAAAGCAAAAATAAACAAATGGGACCTAAGCAAACTTACAAGCTTTTGTACAGCAAAGGAAACCATAAACAAGACGAAAAGGCAACCTACAGACTGGGAGAAAATATCTGCAAATGATGCAGCCGACGAGGGCTTAATATCCAAAATATACAAATAGCTCATACAAGTCAAAAAAAAAAAAAAAAAAACAGACAACCCAATCAAAAAACGGGCAGAAGACCTAAATAGACATTTCTCCGAAGAAGACATACAGACGGTGAACAGGCACATGAAAAGATGCTCGATTAGCTAATTATTAGAGAAATGCAAATCAAAACAACAATGAGGTATCACCTCACACTGGTAAGAATGACCATCATCAAAACGTCTACAAATTACAAAATGCTGGAGAGGGTGTGGAGAAAAGGGAACCCTCTTACACTGTCAGTGGGTATGAAAATTGGTACAGCCGCTATGGAAAACAGTATGGAGGTTCCTCAAAAAACTAAAAATAGGGTTGCCATATGATCCAGCAATCCCACTCCTAGGTGTGTATCTGAACAAAACTATAATTCAAAAAGATACATGCCGCGATGAAGAGTGGCTCCCGCTCACCGCCAGCTAGAGAAAGCCCTCCCACAGAAACGAAGACCCAACACAGCCAAAAATAAATAAATAAACAAATAAATAAATACATACATACATAAAAAAGATACACGCACCCAAATGTTCGTAGCAGCACTATTCACAATAGCTAAGACATGGAAACAAGCTAAATGTCCATTGACAGATGAATGGATAAAGAAGATGTGGTACATATATAATAGAATATTACTCAGCCATAAAAAGGAATGAAATAATGCCATTTGCAGCAACAAGGATGGACCTAGAGATTTTCACACTAAGTGAAGTAAGCCAGACAGAGGAAGACAAATACCGTATGATATCACTTATATGTGGAATCTCAAATATGATGCAATATGAAAAAATGAATACGAAATGTTCTACGAAACAGAAACAGACTCACAGACATAGAGAACAGACTTGTGGTTGCCAAGGGGGAGGAGGGTGGGGAGGGATGGTTTGGGAGTCTGGGATTAGCAGATGCAAACTATTATATATAGAATGGGAAACAGCAAGGTCCTAGTGTAGAGCACAGGAAGCTATATTCAATATCCTGTGATAAACCATAATGGAAAAGAATATGAAAAGAGTGTATATGTATGTATAACTAAATCACTTTGCAGTACAGCAGAAATTAACACAACACTGTAAATCAACTACGCTTCAACAAAATAAATTTAAAAAATAAAAAAGTGAAAGTCTCTTCCCACAGACTATTATTAGAGTGGATAAATGAGGCAACATTTCAGCCAGGTGGGAAAAATGAACACCACAAGTGAGGGGCAGATGGGTGCCCAGAGAAAGGGTCACTTATGCCCAGGAATGCATAACCTGTGTCTATACCTGAGGCGCTTCACACAAACCCGAAATAAGGAACATTCTATTAACAGGGAGAGAAAAGGACAATATTCTTCAGAAATATTAGTGCCATAAAAGGCTGATCTGTGGAAATCCGCCAGACGTGACAACTAAACACAATGCCTGACGCTAGGCTGGCTCCAGTAGGGTGGAGGGAAATTTTTTTTAATATTTATTTTATTGATTTATTTAGCCTGCGCCGGGTCTTAGTTGGCGTCACGCGGACTCTTAGTTGCGGCATGCATGCGGGATCTCAGTTCCCCGACCAGGGATCAAACCCGGGACCCCTGCATTGGGAGCATGGAGTCTTACCCACTGGACCAGCAGGGAAGTCCCTGGGCAGAGGGAAATTGTTAGGTCAACTGACAAAACTGAAATTCAGATGTAGAGGGGATAAATGCATTGCATCAACGTTAAGTTTACGGGAATCAGTAGCTGTTCTCTGGTTATGTAAAAGAATGTTCTTCTTTGAAAATTCACTCTGAAGTATTTAGGGGCTACTATAGACTAAATATCTGTGTACCCTAAAAATTCGTATATGGAAACATAATCCCCATGGCGCTTCTCTGCCATTTCGACGGCGCGTGGGGTGAGGTCTGGGCCACCCCAGCAGCTAAGCATCTTAGCCTAGCGGAGGGAGAGCTGGGGGAGGTGAGGGGTGGTGGGGGCGTGCAGCTCGGGGCAGCGGTGGGGCTGTGGTTCACCCACTAATCTTTCTGTTCCAAGTTTTCCCCCTAGAGAAAGAGATCCTGGAGGGACCATGTCCAGAGCACATCACCCCGAGCTGAGCAGTTCAGGGGTGGCTAGTGGGTGCTGTGGGCACCATGCGCCCCCCCAAACACACACACAAGCAGTTTCCCGGCTGCTGGGAACATCGGTGGCTGAAGAGAGATGTCACCTATCCGTCACGGAGGCTGCCGCGTCCAGGCCCAGCACCTGTGGCCAACAGGGGACAGGGGTGAAGCTCCAGAGCTCCCCATGGGATGTACGGAGACTTTGCATCCTTCACCGCCTGGCCGGTGGTGACCACAAGGGCCGTCCCCACTCACTTTCCTATCTCAGCCTCTGTCTCGCAGTCTGTTTCCTGGGGACCTAGCCTCTGACACAAAGCATGAGTCGGATTTTGAAAGATTTAAGAAACAAACAAAAGAAGTAACACCAGTTGGAAGTGTGACCTAAATAGAAAGAACTAAGCCCCGATACTGGTCCTATCAGGAGATGTAAACGGGCCAAACGCAGCGTGATCCCGGAGTGTGTCACAGGGCAAATCCCGACCCTGAGCTGTGAACCAGCATCAAACCCGAGAGTGAGAAGGTCACACGGAGTCTCCTCTGCCCGCACACCTGCCCCGTTTACCTGCGCCCTAGAAACTCCAGCCTGTAGGGACAGAGAGCAAGTGAGCGGTTGCCAGGGCCCAGGTGGGAGAACAGCCTGAATACAGAGCAGCCCCGGAGTTTGGGGCGGAGATGAAACTTGTGAGTGTTGATTGCAGCGGTGGCTAGTTTACCTGCGTCAGTGCTGGTAAAACCCGGAAAAGGATAGATTTTTCCGTCTGTTCCGTCTCAACAAAGCGGACCATGGATCGCATTGGTGACAGGCAGTATACACGCTTCTTTATCGACTCATTAAATCGTGAGATAATGATTTGAGTGTAGGTAGAGTTACATTTTATTTCTTCAGGAGATGCGGTAGGAAGTTTGTTTTTTCTCAGCTTGAAGAGAAACACTAAAATGCGAGGATGTCTTTGACAAGAGAACGAGCACGTCGTTTTGGACATTCAGCTGGTTTAAAGTTTTGTTTTGTTTTGTTTTGTTTTGTCCTACAAGGTCCCTAAGGTTGACCATCCCCCACTGGTGGACATGCACTGTTTGCCAGCACCGCAGTCACCAAGCGTCTAAAGACGGAACCTCTAAGATTTCTAATCTGCACTGGTTTCCTCCTTCAGCTGAGGCAAATCACCACAAATCCAGTAGCTAAAACAACACACCTTCATTATCTGGGGGGGCAGAAATCGCGGTGTCAGCAGGGCCTCGCTCTCTCCCGAGGCCCCAAGAGGAGACCGTGCGTCCTTTCAGGGCTGCATTCCTCCCTCTTCAAGCTGCAGCACAGCGGGTGGCTTTGGTGTCACACAATTTCCTTGGCCTCCCTCTCAGAAGGATGTGTGGCGATATTGGATCCCTGTCCTCAAAGAGTCTGGGAATAACTGGGTCTCAGATCGTGGCTCGGGACCTGATGCTTGCTGGGCTCTGAGAGATGTGAGGAGCTGTCAGCACATCACACCCTCAGGACCCAGCAATCAGTCCCCAAGTGGGTGGTCCAGCCGCAGCCCAGAGATAAACGAGACTTTCTCTAGGGTTGCAGAGACAGAAAAGATCTCTCTCCCACTGTGCTCAGCAGAATAAGAGCCCCCAAAGACACCCACGTCCTTCCTGGGCACTGCGGATGTGTCGCCTCACACGGCAGAGGGGACTTTGCAGCTGGGATTAAGTTAAGGCCCCTGAGACGGGGATGACCCTGGATTCCCCGGGGGGCCCAGCATCATCTCAGGGTCCTTATAAGAGGGAGGTGGGAGGGTCAGACGCAGTGAGAGACGGGAGATGCTGCGCTGCTGGCTGTGAGGATGCAGGAGGGGCCACGAGGCAGGGATGCGGCACCTCTAGAGCTGGAAAAGGCGGAACCGATGCTGCCCTGGAGCCTCCGGAAGGACCGGCCCTGCCCACGCCTGCATTTAGCCCCGTGAGGCCCGAGCCGGACTCCTGACCTCCAGGACTGTCAGAGAACCCATCTGTGTGGTTTTCAGCCCCCGGTTCATGGTGAGTTGTCCCAGCCGCCATGGGAAACACTGGTGGGTCTTTCACAAACTCGGTGACCCTCAGCCTCCACCTCAGCACAGGGGAGACACTGACAGTACCCGCGTCGGGTCACTGGAAAGATCATAATCACACAACAGGCATCGGCTGGTTTCTTATGGAGGTCACTGAGTTTGAGGTGCTGTGGATGCCCAGGATGCGGCTGGATAAGCAAGTTGGGACAGAAGTGGTTCAGAGGGAAAATTCTGACGTGGGAGAGCGTGGAGTCTGCCACCCAAGGGGCTGGCGACACCAGGGGAACGTGACTGGGGAAAAAGGGCTGCAGGATTGCAGGTTGGATGCAAACATAAACATTATTATTACTGTCTCCTCCGGGCCCCCGCTGGCCTCCCGGGTCCAGGCCAAAGCGCTCAGAGCCACACACAGGGTCAGGCTGCACTTGGGTGTTTACTGGGAACGGGCTGAGGGGCCAGGCCTGGGCTGCTCATGCTTTTTTGGTGACGCTCTCGGGGGTGGCAAGCTCGTGCAGGCGAGGGGACGCACGAGCCACCAGGGAGGCTGGAGAGACGCGGTAGGGTTTGTAGCCCTCGCTCAGGTCCCTCCGCACTTTGGGTTTGGCCAGGGAGACGATGCGGGGACTGGCCACCGCCTTCTTGGGGACCTCCAGCACCTCCCAGCGCGGGTCTCGGTCAGGAACACACTTGTCCGACTGGGCCTTGGGCACTGGAGAGGGCGGGAGAGGGGGCTGGTGTCAGGAGCCGGAGCCTGGGGCATAAGGCCACCACCACCCCTGCCTCGCCCCGCAGAGATCAGCCTTCTGGGTCAGAGCTCCCAAGTTTAATGGCCTGTCTGTCAACAGATGATGGATAAACAAACATGTCCCTCCACACATGGGAGCATCAGTCAGCGATGAAAAGGGGTGAAGTCCTGACACTCGCTACCACATGGATGGACCTTGAGGACACGATGCTCAGTGAGAGAAGCCAGACACAGAAGGACACATGGTGTGTGATTCCATTGATGGGAAACGTCCAGAACAGGCCGATCCACAGACACAGAGAGTGGGTTCCTGGTTGTCAGGGGCTGGGGGTGGGGATGGGGATGACTGCTCGTGGGGACGGGGCTTCACTTTTGGGGGGATGGAGTGTTCTAAAAGTGACTGTGTGGGACATAGAGAACAGACTTGTCGTTGCCAAGGGGGAGGTGGAGAGGGGGAGGGATGGATTGGGAGTTTGGGATTAGCAGATGCAAACCATTATATATAGGATGGATAAACAACAAGGTCCTACTGCAGAGCACAGGGAACTATATTCAATATCCTGGGATAAGCCACAATGGAAAAGAATATGAAAAAGAATATATATGTGTATAACTGAGTCATTTGCTGCACAGCAGAAACTAACAACATTGTAAATCAGCTATACTTCAATAAAAAATAAATTTAAAAAATAATATACAATTTTTTAAATGACATAAATAATATAAAATAAAATTGATTGTGGTGGGTGCACAGCTCTGTGAACGTACTGGAAAGTATTGAACTGTGCACTGTGAAAGGGTGAACTGTAAAGAAAAAATATTTCAAATGGCCATGGGTCCCAGATGGGGGACTCAGAGGGAGCAGAAAAAGGTACCCTGGGGGCTGGGGGTGAGTAAGGGGCTCAGGCAGCCCTGCTGCCCCTGTACCTGCAGCCCCAGCTGGGCCCTCTCCACAGGGTCCCACCAGCCACATGGGACCAGTACCCGATATGGGCTGGACTTTTATCGTTTTTAATTTTAATAAAATCTGTTAATTGACTTAAATCAATGGATGGATTGGCTTTCATTCCACTTTAGTCGTGGACAGACAGCTCTCAAAGCAGACCTGTGGCTCAGCCAGCCCCCTCCGTTCACCCACCAGGACCCCTGGCCCTTCTCCTGCGCAGCCCCCTTCGCCACCTCTCCGCCACCCCTTCCTCCACAGCGGGAGCCATGGGGCATGGCCTGCGTGGGGACCAGGAGAGAGGTGACCGCTGGTGGCCACTGGTGACCACTGCCTTAACTTTGGGCCCCTCGGTTTTGAGGGCTGCCTTTCCAAACCCCTCTTTGCTCCAACACCCTGCAACCACAAAAGGGCCCTCCCCCTAGTCAGCAGACAAGCCACAGTTCAGGGGAGAGGCCCTCGGTGAAAAGAAGGGGGGCCCTTCCACCAGCCTCAGGCTAGACTACAACTCCTGGGCAGGTGACATGTGCTGGGGCCCCCAAAAGGGAGGGGCTGAGGGACCTCGGGAGGACCTGCCCAGAGCCCACCTTTCTGGGAGTCCTCAGGGAGACTCAGGGGCATTCCCTTTGTTGTAACACCGGGGCTCCGAAAATCTTCTGGTCACAGCCTGAGAGTGTGACTGGTCCACAGCCACACGGCACCCACAAATGCAAAACGGCATGGACCAGTGCCCACCCCCACGTGGCCCCTGCACTGCATGCGTCCTCACTTCACTTCTTAAATGCTGGTCACAACCATCAGTGGGTGGAAGTCTGAGGTTTGAAAAACACAGCCCTACACCAGTTTTATCCATACACACACGGATGTGCATTGATATGTGCTCCTGAAGCCTGGATGAATGTACACACGTGTTTATGTACAAATGTACATGTGCTTATTATATTCCAGACGTGTGTGTTCATGCATATGTGTGTGAGACAGGATGGTTTGAGAGAGAAGTGTGTGTGTATTTGTGTTTCTGTTCATTTAACCATTCGTAACAAATTCAACAAATACTTTAACAAATATTAAGGGAACAGACGAATGAATGAATAAACAAACAAACAAAAGATCCCACAGGCAAGCTCGAAAGAAAAAAGACTGGGAAGAAGTTATTTTGCAACGTGCTTGACATAGGGTTAGTGATCATCTTATATAAAGAGCTGCTGCAAATCAATACCCACCTCCCCTGCAAAAAAAAAAAAAAAAAAAAGGAAATAGGAAATGGAGAAAATAGGACACAGCAGATTATACCAAACCAGCCAATCAAGCTATCTGGTGACCACGTGCCAGGAGTCGGGGGATACACAGTGAATTTTCCTAAGCCTCTGACTGCCTTTGGGTGGCGAGATTCCTTTCTTCATGCTCTTCTGCATTTCTCAAACTCTCTACAATTAGTGCATTTTACTTTTGTTGTGGGGGAACCAGGTATGTCCTTTGTTTTAAAGGACAGGAAGAGGCCCAGAATGGAGCCCGCATTTCCACAGAGCTGGAACTCCTGGCTCGGGGTCTCTTCCCTCCACCATCACTGAACTGCCCCGGAGCCCGAGAGGAGGGCGGCCTCACTGAGGCTGCCAGCTCTGGAGGGGCCCCAGCAGCCAAAGCCGCGACAGTCCTGGGGACTGCGGGCTGGACCAGAGGGCAGACAGCAGAAGCAGGAAGAACTACAATCCTGCAGCCTGTGGAACAAAAACCACATTCACGGAAAGATAGACAAGATGAAAAGGCAGAGGGCTATGTACCAGATGAAGGGACGAGATAAAAACCCAGAAAAACAACTAAATGGAGTGGAGATAGACAACCTTGCAGAAAAAGAATTCAGAATAATGACAGTGAAGATGATCCAGGACCTCGGAAAAAGAATGGAGGCAAAGATCGAGAAGATGCAAGAAAGGTTGAACAAAGACCTAGAAGAATTAAAGAACGAACACACAGAGATGAACAATACAATAACTGAAATGAAAAATGCACTAGAAGGAATCAATAGCAGAATAACTGAGGCAGAAGAACGGATAAGTGACCTGGAAGACAGAATGGTGGAATTCACTGCCACGGAAGAGAATAAAGAAAAAAGAATGAAAAGAAATGAAGACAGCCTAAGAGACCTCTGGGACAACATTAAACGCAACAACATTCACATTATAAGGGTCCCAGAAGGAGAAGACAGAGAGAAAGGACCAGAGAAAATATCTGAAGAGATTACAGTCCAAAACTTCCCTAACATGGGAAAGGAAATAGTCCAGGAAGCACAGCAAGTCCCATACAGGAAAAATCCAAGGAGAAACACGCCAAGACCCATAGTAATCAAATTGGCAAAAATTAAAGACAAAGAAAAATTATTGAAAGCAGCAAGGGAAAAATGACAAATAACATACAAGGGAACTCCCATAAGGTTAACAGCTGATATCCCAGCAGAAACTCTACAAGCCAGAAGGCAGTAGCATGATATACTTAAAGTGATGAGAGGGAAGAACCTACAACCAAGATTACTCTACCTGGCAAGGATCTCATTCAAATTAGATGGAGAAAGAGGGAAGAGATATGGGAACATATGTATATGTATAACTGATTCACTCTGTTATAAAGCAGAAACTAACACACCATTGTAAAGCAATTATACCCCAATAAAGATGTTAAAAAAAAAAAAATTCGATGGAGAAATCAAAAGCTTTACAGACAAGCAAAAGCTAAGAGAATTCAGCACCACCAGACCAGCTCTACAACAAATGCAAAAGGAACTTCTCTAAGTGGGAAACACAAGAGAAGAAAAGGACCTACAAAAACAAACCCAAAACAATTAAGAAAATGGTCATAGGAACATACATATCGATAATTACCTTAAATGTGAATGGATTAAATGCTCCAACCAAAAGACACAGGCTTGCTGAATAGATACAAAAACATAACCCATACATATGCTGTCTACAAGAGACCCACTTCAGACCTAGGGACACATACAGACTGAAAGTGAGGGGATGGAAAAAGATACTCCATGCAAATGGAAAGCAAAAGAGAGCTGGAGTAGCAATACTCATATCAGATAAAATAGACTTTAAAATAAAGAATGTTACAAGAGACAAGGAAGGACACTACATAATGATCAAGGGGATCAATCCAAGAAGAAGATATAACAATTATAAATATATATGTACCCAACACAGGAGCACCCCAATACATAAGGCAACTGCTAACAGCTCTAAAAGAGGAAATCAACAGTAACACACCAATAGTGGGGGACTTTAACACCTCACTTACACCAATGGACAGATCATCCAAAATGAAAATAAATAAGGAAACAGAAGCTTTCAATGATACAATAGACCAGATAGATTTAACTGATATCTATAGGACATTCCATCCAAAAACAGCAGATTACACTTTCTTCTCAAGTGCGCATGGAACATTCTCCAGGATAGATCACATCCTGGGTCACAAATCAAGCCTCAGTAAATTTAAGAAAATTGAAATCATATCAAGCATCTTTTCTGACCACAGCGCTATGAGATTAGAAATCAATTACAGGGGGAAAAAACGTAAAAAACACAAACACATGGAGGCTAAACAATACGTTACTAAATAACCAAGAGATCACTGAAGAAATCAAAGAGGAAATCAAAAAATACCTAGAGACAAATGACAATGAGAACACGACGATCCAAACCCTATGGAATGCAGCAAAAGCAGTTCTAAGAGGGAAGTTTATAGCTATACAACCCTACCTCAAGAAACAAGAAAAATCTCAGATAAACAATCTAACCTTACACCTAAAGGAACTAGAGAAAGAAGAACAAACAAAACCCAAAGTTAGCAGAAGGAAAGAAATCATCAAGATGAGAGCAGAAATAAATGAAATAGAAACAAAGAGAACAACAGCAAAGATCAATACAACTAAAAGCTGGTTCTTTGCGAAGATAAACAAAATTGATAAACCATTAGCCAGCCTCATCAAGAAAAAGAGGGAGAGGACTGAAATCAATGAAATTAGAAGTGAAAAAGGAGAAGTTACAACAGACACCACAGAAATACAAAGCATCCTAAGAGACTACTACAAGCAACCCTATGCCGATAAAATGGACAACCTGGAAGAAATGGACAAATTCTTAGAAAGGTATAACCTTCCAAGACTGAACCAAGAAGAAATAGAAAATATGAACTGACCAATCACATGGAATGAAGTTGAAACTGTGATTAAAAATCTGCCAACAGGGCTTCCCTGGTGGCGCAGTGCTTGAGGGTCCGCCTGCCGATGCGGGAGACGCGGGGTTGTGCCCCGGTCCTGGAGGATCCCACATGCCGCGGAGTGGCTAAGGCCGGGGGGCCTGGGCATTGAGGCC